CGAAATACTGCGTGACTGGCCAACAAAATGGCAGGTGAAGTTCATTGTTGCTAAGTGCAAACCAATGCATGTTGGAAAAAAATAATCCCAACTACACATATACGATGATGGCTTCTAAATTAGCCATTACCACCAAAGAAAGAAATCTTGGTGTCACTGTGGATAATTCTTTGAAAACTGCTGAAAATTGAGAAATGATCAAAAAGGCTAATGGTATATTAGGAACTATTAGGAATGGGCTAGAAAATTAGACAGAAACTATCACAATGCATCTATATAAATCCATGGTCTGCCCATACCTTGAATACTATGTCCAGTTCTTCTTGCCCCATCCACAGAAATGATATAGTGGAACTGGAAAAGGTACTGAGAAGGGCAACAAGGATGTTGAAGGGTACAGAATGGCTTCTATCCAAGCAGAGACTAAAAAGATTAGGGCTGTTTATTTTAGAAAACAGACTCATTGGGTGATATGATAGAGGTCTATAAAATAATGAATGGTGTGGAAAAAGTGAGTAGAGAAATGTTATTTACCCATTCACACAGTACAAAACCGAGGAATCACCTGATTATATTAATAGGCAGCAGGTTTAATACAAACAAGAGGAAGAACTTTTTCACACAATGCACAGCTAACCTGTGGAACTCATTGCCATGGGATGTTGTGATGGACAAAAGTATAACTAGGTTCAAACCAGAACTGGATAAGTTCCTGGAGGATAGGTCCATCAATGGTTATTAGCTAAGATGATCAGGGACACAACCTCATGCTCAGAGCAACTCTAAGCCTCTGACTGCCAGAAGCCAAGAGCGGAGGACTGGGGTAAGTCACTCCATAATTGCCCTCTTCTGTACACTCCCCCGGAAGCTCTGGCAAAGGCCACTTTTGCAGACAGGATTCTGGTCTGACCCAGACAAGGCTGGCAGCTCTTATGTTCTTATGGTTCTTTTCTGGGGAAGGTAAATAAACAATGGCTTTCTTCAAATAACAGATTTTTTTAATAAACACCTGTATCATGCACTGTACTGTTACTGCACTGAAATCATTGTTCATGCCCATTCCAGTTCCAGGGTAACTATGGCACAGTAAAGGCCCATTCCTGCTCCCACTAGGATTTTCTCCAAGTCTCTGGAACCTCCCAAGTCGGTAACAATTTAAAAGAAATTGGAATTTCTGATAAATTTGTTAGTTAATATGATATTTCTTGCGCATCCTTAGAAGACCTGTTTGAAAATGTTCAAGTTTTCCAAGTAGGAGCTGATTCTACAAAGCTTTAGCGTCACTAGTAGTTCTTACTTTCAAGAGCTGTCCCATAAGGATGACTCAGACGACTAAAGGTTCAGGATTAGGTCCTGTCCCTTTAAATGCTTTTATCGGAAGTTTCTTCACAAAGTCCTCAGCATTTCCTAATTCTACTGACTTCTTCTCTTTATGTTTCTTGTTAAAGACACACATTTTTCAGTATCTCAGCCATTGGAGCATCATCACTGATTTGCATGGAAGCTGTTTAGTTCTCATTATATTGCACATTAACAGCTGGGATCTATCCCTGCAGGGAGCAGGCGGCTCAGACTGGTGAATGGGGCAGGTCGCTGTGCCGGGAGAGTGGAGATTTATTACAATGGCAGCTGGGGGACAGTCTGTGATGATTCCTGGGATCTGTCAGACTCCAATGTCGTTTGCAAACAACTTGGATGTGGACACGCCATCAATGCAACTGTCTCTGCTCATTATGGGCAAGGATCCGGACAGATCTGGCTGGATGATGTGAACTGCTCTGGGAATGAATCCAATCTCTGGGACTGTCCTTCCGGGGGATGGGGCCAGCACAACTGCAGACACAAAGAGGATGTGGGAGTTCTCTGCTCAGGTCTGGTCTGGGAATGCTCACATGAGTCTGATAATCAGGGGACTTAATGAAGTACATGGGTGTCTGAGGAGTGAGCTGAGGATGTCAGAAAGTTTATCTCCTTTTTCCTTTCTCTCTCTCACTCTCCCCACTACCTACCCACTTGCAGTGGTCACCATTAAAAAGTCAGCATTGCCAACAGTTAATACCAAGGGGTACTACAAATATCAGATTGATTTCTGAATCTCGGGTACCACTGTTTGCAACTGTTGGTAAATGGTGTCTTTTAAATAATAA